ACCCAAAGCACACGGCTTGGGCAATTCTTGCATGGTTTCAGGAGAGGGACATTGAGTTATTGTAAGCAAATAACCTAACCTAGCTCAATCCAAATGAAAATCTGTGGCGGGATTTGAAATTGAGGGTACAGGAGAGAGATCCAAGAAATCTTATCTAATTGAATGTAATATGCAGAGAGGGGGGCTAAAATTCCTACTAGCATACAGTATGTGTTAATCTTGTGAAGAAGTGTTCTAATCGGTTTGAAGAAGTTTTGGCTGCTAAAAGTCACATGACAAGGTTTTGAGTAAATTTGTTTCCTATTGGATTCTTTTCGAACATTTACAATCACCAAGTCAACATTTAATGATATTGTTGTTTTACTATGATATTTGTATTTCCCATGTAAATTTACTTGAGAATCGTGTTCGATTATTTTATTTCGTTGAATAAGCTTTAATTAAACAAAGTTTTTCCTGTGTCGGATACTTTTTTCACCCTCTGTACTTCTTTCCCACCTGTAAAATGCAGCTGTATTGAAGCAGAAGTTTACTTAATGCAGATGAGTGCGTCTGATATAATTTCTTGAAATGAAAATTTTTCTTTCCGTATATTCTCTACACTTTACGAAGAAGCTAAATTCAGCTTTCATCTTGCTGGCTATTTTTAACAGCTAAAATGGACACAAGAGTCCTTGCTTATTGCTGGTGGCCGCATGATGTTCGAGAACAACTGGCTGCGCGTTTTTCTCTCAATATGCCAGACACTAGTGAATACAGGCTGTACAGTCAGCCCAGATGACTGCCAGACTTTAGTACGTACAGTCAGGCATGCCTATTGCTGCGCGCTCAGTAAACAGTACTGTTCTCCACTGCATATGCATATCGCTGCCGCCAGCCATAGCCTGATCTTAGCGTGGGTCTTCAACACTTGGCTCAAGTTGCTCGCCGAGCGCCATGGTTGTATTGTGTTGTGACTCTCTCTCCTCTTCTCTCGTGCCTGCCGCTCAGAAGTGACCGCTTGTTTTCTCAACAGTTTTATAACAAAACTAAAACAATTGATTTAAATTATGATTTTTGAAGTAAGAGAGCACATACTATTGAATGCTTTGTAATAATCATAATGTAATGTAATATCTCGAATGACAATCCTTGATTTATCAGTTCCTGCCTCAATTTTGTTACCAAGTCTACCTAAGACTAATTTACCACCAAAACCCAAAAAGATTCTGCTAAAATTTTATGTTACAAATTTCTTGAAAAGCTTGCGGGTAATATTTTTTGTTTATATTGTAACGACTACATTTATCGTTATCTATTTAATCAGTCCCATAACTCATACCATGCACGATTCCTAATCCTGAATTTTACTACATTAAAAATTCAAAACAAAATTATTGTGGTACGTTGATTTCTTCCATTATTTAAATTGAGAAGGCATTCTGACTTTGCAATAAAAAAGTGCGTAACATCAACCGAAATCTTTATTACTTAAAACGCTCTGCAATGGTTCTTCATTTGTGTTTTTCTTCATTTACATTAAAAACGTGGTTTTTTTAAAAAGTTTTTTTAAGTATTTTATTTTCTACTTTTTAGTCCACAAGAAAATCGATTAAGACTTGATTAAGTATGACTTGACGCACGTATCGATGATACGCAGCGTCAGCGCCTGCTCGTCTATAACGTGAGCGCCCGCACGGCATACTATATGTATATACTATATATATACTTTACTCAATTAAACCAATTTAGGTCTCTAATTGCTAGTTTTTATGATTGTATCTGAAATTGTTAGGCTAAAATAGCCTGCATGCCGAATTTCAGATCTCTAGAACAATCAGAAGTGGGCTAATTTTCGTTGTCAATGTTAACAACAAACAAACAAACAAATAAACAAACAAACAAACAAACAAACGCGAAGCTAAGCTAAGAAAAACGTGTTAAAAAGTGCGTAACATCAACCGAAATCTTTATTACCTAAAACGCTCTGCAATGGTTCTTCATTTGTGTTTTTCTTCACTTACATCTGCCGCATGATTTTCATCGTATGTTTCGACGTAGAGAGTGGATGCGTTGTGCTTTCGTGTTCCTGGAAAATAAAGTGTTTGATGTTGGATTCAACGTCACATTTTTCCGAGTATTGCAAATTTTTATCCCTTAATAATTTCTTCGCTTCGAATTTGTTCGTTTATTCTATATGACTTATGGTAGTGTTTTAGAGTATTCTAATTAGGAGAAATTTTTTACTTAATTATACTTCACAGTAAAATCTCTCGTGCATATGTAGAGCACTTGAAAACCCGGGAGATAGAGTAATTGAAACAAAGTTCATGCTTATTATTATATATTTTTTCATAAATGCTTTGTCCTTGGCATGGTGCGTGTTTACTGTTTGTTTTATAAAAGTTAATTATAGCCGTCTGACAACACTGTTCCGAAAAACATTTCAAGTTCATCGTGAGCTAGAGATGCAAAAATTACTTTTACTTGCAACTCATCTTGAATAATTATTATTTCAATCTTGTATCATAGCTACTGCTCTTCTGTTGCATAGCTACTGAACGCCTGAGGTGTTATGGTATATAGTGTAGTAATATGGTATTTCCTGATGTCAGAGGCTTTGTTTATGAGCCTCCCAGCACAAAACTGGCGCCACTTGCCTGCAGGTCTCAGGTGTTGGGTTCAGTTCAACGTAGACGAATACCTTACACTCTTCTCTGACACTCGCGTGAGGGTGGATGACTGGATGATGTCTCGTGTTAGCGACGTGGTATTTGCGGTTCCTCGTTTTATTTTCTATTTTCCTGTGAATACCTCGTCTCTACGAGATGTTAACGCTTCATTTTTTTGTTGCCGTGGTCATTTAAAGAGCCTCCCGTCCCATGCGGGAAGGATGATTTTCGGGCGATGAAAATTTGCACTGAATGAGACTTTTTCACTGACTTATAATATTAAATTGCAAGCTACATTTCAGTATTTTAGATATTTCTTAACTGGTCTATATTTTGTGCTGCTCTGAATTCTTCAACAACATCCAAACGGAATATCAGAGGCTCTGGAGATCCCTAAGTAGCTTTCATTAATGCATTTTATATAAATCTTATGGAGCACTTAGTCTGTGTTATCAATTATTTTAGCGCTTCAAGAGGCTACTACACACCCAAACAAAATTTATGACTGGAACACCCATGTTTTTAAGATCGTTATCGGCGGACGCCATAGGTGGAGCAACTATGATTTATACAGTGAATGATTTATACAGTGAATATACAGTGCTTATGATTTATACAGTGAATTAAGGGTGGCGTGCACCACCTATCCCACACCTATAACATGCCTGCATGTGGTCACGTTTGCGCTCAAACTTTGCTTCCACCAATAACTGGCACCGGCGGCGCACCGATGAGCCACCGATGGCCATCTTTATAATGAAATCGATAAAAACTCTTCTGTTAGTTTTAAATCAGATGCATTTTCATTTACTGATATTGCTTCATACAATCACCATTCTGAGGACTACGAATGCAAATCCACAGTGGCAGTACAAGTAACAATGTCAGACATGTAGCAGGAACTAATTACAACAGTACCAGAAATATACTTCGAGGTTAATCGACTTAAAGCAAAATCCCTGCCTGCAGGATTTACTGGAGAGATTTACTGGAGGTTTTGATATTAATTAACTGTGTGCAAGAAATATTGTAAATAATTGAACATACTGAACTGAAGTTTAATTAACCTACTTTCGCTAAGTTTTTCAGACTGTTATCTGAAATCTTCAATGAAAGATATATGTTGTAATGGACAAATCAAGCTGATATTATTTTGCCTCACGGATCACTTTTTAGAAGTCGTTCAAATCCTCATGTCACTCTCTGGCAGCACGTCGAGCTTTCCTGCGTGTCTAGAGGGCCAGTGACGTCGGTAAAATCATCAGAAGCAACATCAGGCAACTCTACCGTTCAATGAAATCCAATATGATCTTCATTAGGAATAACTTAGAATGGTCTGATAACTCTAATTTTTCTGAAGTTGCGTTATATTACGTAACACTTTGTCTCATATACTGTAGTAATTGCAGCCATGTTCAGCTACCACAATCCTAAATCTTATTCATAACATGTTCAAAAGATTAATTTGATTATTCATTTCAGACATAATTGAGTGAACTACTTTCCTGTATCTTGAGATGCCTTATTTTCTGTAAATTTCAAACCCCTGTGATCTGTAAATTGATGTCAGAATTAACTCATTTACTGTGAACAAATTTATACGAGTCTCAATCGTGCCATACGCGTGAGCCTATTAAGCATCTTCGAATTTACCTCATGAAATTTATATCATAAATATTAAATAGCACAGATGACGGTTACCGTCTCATAATAATAATACATATACTGCTTCAATTGTGCTTTTCTTCTACTCAAGTTCCCGGGGAGTTTTATGTTTGTCACCAATGCATTTTGGTGCGTGATGGACGACTCTAACTACAACTACTACGACTGATGGACGACTCTATGCTCATCATATATGAATGGTAGCGATTTAAAAATATCAGGCTATAATTTTTGGCATCTGTTCAATAAATTAAACATGAAATGCGTTTATTCGTGTTTGCCAGACAACTCGTTTTATTTTCCTTGACATGTGGTGCGTTTATTGATCTTCCTTATTCTCCCTTTCGTATTTTCGCATGCTCTCTCTAATTAAATAAAGTAATGTTCCATTTGATACAATTTGGTAGAATGATAAAAACCACAATTTTATAGTCACTGCGGAACGATTTTTCAAGACCTTCCACTGATAAAAGTCGAATTCTAATGTAGAATTTGGCTACAGTTTTGAAGAACAGATATATTAGGATTCATAGATTTGAAGAATTATACTATACTGCGCCTCGATGTGCAAGAATAGTTCTTTCGGTATCCATGACAATGTTTAATCGTCTGGACTTGATGACATTTTGCTAAGAATAAATATTTAAATATGTTGAAGAATCATACCTGATGTCCCTTGTTCAGAACGTCTGCGTGCCGAGACAGCGAAGCGGGGGAAATAATGGGAGCGTATCTCAGCGACCTCTGGGACTCAGCAGCCTCTGGGGAGCAACCTACCACGAAACGAAAGCAACACTGCCCCTTCTGCAATAATCATGGCATCAATAGGTGCGTGCTAGCGTAATCAGGAGATGCTGCGACATTTAGTGATTGATTGCGATATCATGTGGGCGCTTGCTTCTTGCAAAATTAGAATAGTTGATAGGCTGAGAATCCTGCCTAGATATTTTGAATACGCATGAAACAATGACTACAAACAGGAATTTTTGATTATTCTGACATGTACTTATCACTAAAATTTTACTTAATACTTTTTGGCGGTTTTGTAATATGTTTTATAGTATTCCATGTTTCTCAATAACCTCTCTATGTATACGTCATTGTTATGATTTGATGGCATTTTAATTAAATTAAAAAGGCATTTTAATTTTGCAATAAAAAAGTGCGTAACACTAACCGGAATCTTTATTACTTAAAACGCTCTGCAATGGTTCTTCATTTGTGTTTTTCTTCGCTTATTTCGTTTTCAAATTTATAACGAAATACTGAAACTAAATTTAATTCACTTTAATTTGTCTACCTATTTCTTTATAGTAATCACGGCTTCATGAAGGTTTGTAGAAGTATTTTGCAAAGTGATTTTCAGTCGCAGGGTGGTTTTAAATTATGGTATCCGAATAACTTTGTCGACCAGTACTTGTTTTCAAATTTATACCCTGTGTTATTTCTATCTACGCTTTTATTGATTTTACGTCCGACTATATTTGAGCCTGGATGCAAAAGAACCAGATTCTAACAAACAATTGCATGAGCTTATTACAAGTCTGATAAAGATAGTTAATTTAGACTTCCGTAGTTGTAGCTAAAATTTGAACCAATTTTTTGAGCCAGTTTATAAAATGACGGTATTGCCACTATTCAGTCAAGCCTTTTTAGTTGTGTCTAAGTGTACAATTTTGAATAATATAATAATTTAACGTAAAGTAATTAACTATTAACGTATTCAGGGTGAAGAAGGGGCACGTATGCGAGTACAAAGACTGCCCCTGCATGCTGTGCCAGCTCACGGCGAAGGCGCAGGTGACTTTTCGCCTCCAACAGGCGCGGTGGCGCCACCAGGAGCTTGAGATGGCCAAGAATAAGCTCACCAGCAGGCAGGTATGACTGGTCCTGGTGAATTGATGTATATGTTATTTAAAAAAATAATTAAATTCGAAAATTCAAAATTATGGCGCCACCAGGAGCGAGAGATGGCCAAGATAAGCTCACCAGCAGACAGGTCCTGGTGAATTGATGTAGTACAAGTTATTTCAATACAAAATAATTAAATTCGAAAATTCAAAATATCTGTGGGCTGGAGCAGAAGAAACAATGTAAAAATATATTAAACAATCTAACGGAATAACAATATTTCGCCAGTGTAATGTAAGAAAGTCAGAGCGAGCTAGAATATCCGAAAAATATTTGTTATATTCACAGTGAACTAAGTTTGTTTATGCCTAGTCGAACAAAAATTTTGAAAAATTGCCCAGTTATCATCATTTCTATCAGGTTAAGTGATTGCAGTTTATCAATGTAACAATATGATTTTCAGTTGTGTGCAAAATGCCGTAACCACGAGAAGTTCTCCAAAAAACATGGCCTGAAATGCGAGTTCGCAGATTGCAACTGTGCATTATGTCTCCTGACCGACAAGTGTCGGCTTGTCATGAAGCTTCAGATGAGAGTGCGACGGGAGAAGGTGACCTCCGAGGTAAGATTTTGGCACTTTAATCTGAACGTGATAGCCTGTTCATTTTAATATGAACCTTTTCGTACACAAGGATTTGATTATTAATTAGTGTCGTGTCAGAATTGCAATGTACAGGGTGTACCAGAATTAATTGACCCTTTTAATTTGTTAATAAATAAAAAACTAAGAACGTTATGAAGTTGAAACTTGTTTTATTTAAAAGAAGAACATTTTTATGGTAATATTGTATCCTAGTTAAAATATTGTATCCTATTACAATATTTTATTATTGTATTAGTTAAAATATTTATTATGTATTAATAACATGTATTAGTTAAAATATTGTATGTAATATTGTATCCTAGTTAGTTATTGTATCCTAAAAACTAGGATACAATATTACCATAAAAATGTTCTTCTTTTAAAAAAAACAAGTTTCAACTTCATAACGTTCTTAGTTTTTTATTTATTAACAAATTAAAAGGGTCAGTTATTTCTGGTTCACCCTGTATTAATATGCACCGCAATCTAGAAAATCTAGTTAATACGCTTGATGGTGCGTGTACAGTGAACAGCGTTTTACTAAACTTATAGTGATAGTTCAATCCTTCATTTCCAAGGTCACAATCGAATAACAGTAATGCGGCTTTACTATTCAAGTTTCATTTGTGCCATTTTTATTTACATGTAACCTTGTATTTCTACAAGGTTATATGTATACACAGGTTATATGTACTGTATATTATATGTATATCACCTTGTACTTCTCTTATATTTCTCCAATCAAGTGCATTTATTCTACAAGTTAGCGATTATCTTTCTGAAGTGTATTATTTTCAGCCACAATCGCACACAATTGCTTAACTTCACCCCTTCCTTGCATTTCACAAGAGTCGTTTCGTCTACAGATCTCAAAGGAAACAGATGACGACGAAGACAGTAATGGCCACGGAGGATCTCAGAACGATGGAGGTGAGGTCATGGAAAGGGACATCTGCGACGAGAAGAGCATTGAACAATCTATTGCTGAGGCTAAAGGTACTTATACACGGGGCGATAGTTGAGTCGAGTACAGTTTTGCAGGCTGAGAGCCTGTACACGAGGAGAATGTTTTCAGTACAGTGCGCTAGCGCCTGTGCGACGTTGGGAGTTGTCGAGTAAAGGGCCTTCTAGACGCTCAATATTATTGCGCAATATGGTTTGCACAATATATTGACGGTAGCTCCTAGACGCTCAATATTACTATTATTGCGCAATATTACTGAGCATGTAGGGACCATATTGATGGGTTGCGCAATATATTGTGCAATTACGCCCCCAGACGTGCAACCGTACTGCGCAAACAGTGCCAGCCAGACTCACGTAGCCAACATATTGAGCGATAATGACTTGTGCTGCGTAATAATTGCTGTGTCAGCAAGTCGTAAAAAAGTAAGAGAGGCTCGCAAAAAGGTAGAAAACTGTCGAAACAGTGGTTTATCAACAGAGAGAAGTTCACCCACGAAAAGCAGTTTTTAATAAGTTATTTGTTCGTGTTTCAGGTACCATCTACAAACCATGAATGGAAACAAATTGCTCAAGACTTTAACGATCAATGGAATTTTTCTAATTGTTTGGGACTAACTATAAAAAAATTTTCAGCATTGTGATGATGGCAGTGGCCAATGCAAACTACGAGTTCCTGATTGTTGATGTTGGAGTGAATGGGCGAATATCAGACGGTGGTGTAATCAGTAACACGAAATTCGGGCGGCGCTGGCGGCTGACAATACATGGAAAATTCCAGAGCCTGCTCAACAGCCAAACAGCCAGAAAATTTTGCCCTTCGTTTTTTGGCAGAAAGTCGTGTAGTCGAAAATACATTCGGAATATTGGTAAGCCGATTCGGTGTTTTACAAAAGCCGATAGCACTTTCTCCAGAAAAGGCTGGAAAAGTAACCTTGGCATGTTGCTATTTGCATAATTTCTTGCGAAAACGCCAATCCCGAGCCTATGTCACAACGAATCTTATCTTGTGGACTGTGAGGACTTGCAGGCGGGAATAGTCACGAGTGGATCGTGGAGGGAAGTTGTCAATGAGATAACACCACTCCCGTCAAACATCACATCCAGAAACGCAACTAACAAAGCTAAATTAGTTAGAGATAACTATTCGAATTTCTTCAACAATGAAGGCCAGGTTTCATGGCATAGAGCTGGGAGACCCCGATATACCTCGATGAATTCCAGCATAAATTCTTCATCAGCTTTCTTAACATCTGCCATGATGTAAACCACGTTGCTAAAATGACGCGTAGATAAGCGTAGAACTGCTCCATACGACCACTGGGGACACACTGACAAAACATTACGCAATATAGCCCCTACACGGCACAATATCTTCCAGTTTGCGCAATATATTTACAAGATTCTGAAAATCACGCAATATATTGCGCAGCCCGTCAATATCGCCCCTAGACGGTCAATAATATTGTGCAAACCTAAATATTGCGCAATAATATTGTGCGTCTAGAGGCCGCTTAAGGTGTGTGCATGGTGGAGCAAGCGAGAGCTCCAAAGATGTGCGCGCTACAGTGTGCAAGAGAGAGCGCGACGCATCCATACTCAGTACGAAGGCCGAGCCGCTACTGAGCACACCAGTGAGCAGTGACGGGCAGTGAGTAGTGACTAGTCTGTCTATAAACAACTTGAGCTGCTCTGGGTGCAATGCCTCCGAAGACGTCAATCATCACAAATTTTAGTTGCGTCGACTAGTCGACGCAATTATTCGTCTCGTGTATATGCACCTTACAGGTGCTTATACACGATTCAGAAGCGATTAGCTGTTGCATTACACCCAGAGCAGCTCAAGTTGTTTCTAGACAATTTAGTCATTTTAGAGTGCCCACTGCCCCAGTAGCGGCTCGGCCCTCGTACTGAGCATAGCTGTGTCGCTTTATCTCTTGCCCACTGTAGCGCGCACAGCTTTGGAGCTCTCGCTTGCCTCCACCATGCCCACACCTTACACTCTCCTGTAAGGCAAGAGTAGGAGAGTAAGGCTACACTCTCCTCGTGTATAGGCATCGCCCCGTGTATAAGCACCTTATGGCCACTCTTGCCATAGAAGCTTTACACAAACATTTTTGACTGCCTTCTCTCGCAGGCGCCGTTCCACGCACGAATAAAAGCTCTGCAGTCAATTCTTAATTATTAGAACAACATATTAGGGTAAATACACGACACCGTGAAGAAAGCAGTTAATACATGACACAAATTAAGAAAGTTTCTACTGTCCTGTAATATTGTTGAGAATTATTAGTGTAAGGAGACAATGTTCAATATCATTCGACCTTAGATATTTCCTCATTGATAAAGAACGCAGTCGAACTGACAGAAGTGCTGATGCTTACTAAATCGATGCCGCCAAGCTTATTTTTTTATTGACGTAGCATTTTCTGCAGCAACGGCATTCCCTTGTTGCAATATCAAAATTTTTTATGAAATATCTCATCCAGCCAGCACGTATATGGTTTTTCCTTCGTCATAAGCACAAATGCTACGATTCGGAATGCCACACCAGCATTATCTGCTATTTAGTTCTGGTGATACATATAATTAACAAGCGATATTCCTTATGAGTTCTATGTCTTATTGAGGATAAATAGAATAACTCAATGATTTAACTGCAAGCGCTACTAGAAGAAGACGTTACAAGTTTTCCCTGCACGATCATCCTATTAGGATCCGACCTGTTAACTAGGTCTAAAGACATAATTGACTTCAGCACGAATATTGTTGCATTTACGCACGATGCACCAACGAGCGGTATAATGAAACATAGACGCACGCTGCAATGCAAGTGCCGTGCCGCCATACGAACGAGAGTAGAACAACAGAAAAAAGAAAGAACCATAAAGAAACGAGAGTAGAACAACAGAAAAAAGAAAGAGCCATAAAGAAACGAGAGTAGAACAACAGAAAAAGAAGGGAAGCTCAAGGCCAATCCCAGCTGCATCTCAGACGCTTAGAGTGCATACACAACGCAAGTTCGTTCTACCCGCAGATTCTCCTGTAGTATTAACAATTCAATGCTATGCAATTGCTAATGGTACTTACCGTTTTACCTTACGGAAAATTAAATAATAGCACATATATAGCTTCAATTCTCGTAACAAATGGCGATAGACGATGTCACGTATTATTCATGGATGCAACAGACTAAAATGCAAATTGAATGCTTTTAAATACAAATTCTGAATCCGATACCAACCTTCTAATTTTTTTGATCCGTTGAAATTTTACGCGTGAAAACGTGATCCATTTTTCTCTTGATGAATTTCCGCTAATGATGACCAATAGGTTTATTGATATATTTTATTGTTGTATAGTCACATATTTTCCGACTGGTACGCGCGAGTATTTTCTCCAAATATAATAATTTAATTTTTTGCTGACATGACGTCGCATTTTACTGCTGACGTCGCGTCGCCTTATAAGTCGAGACTATGTTTAGAGAAACAATAGACAAGATTGTAGTCTATCGTCGTTCTAATTTTGTTGTGAATTTTGTTCTCTATAACGTTTCATGTTGCAACGCAATCTCCGTAGCACTAGTTTGATTTATTATTTAAGGTGTTATTATTATGACAGAGTATGGTGCTGCGATTTATATAGTTGTATTTATTGATGTGGTATTTTTCAGAGACAACGGCAGCTAGGAGCCTTGGTACTTCTCAACCAAAATGGTATAGGCTGTGCGACAAGCTCTGCGGCAAGCTGTGCGGCAGCCACTGATCCATTACTTACAATCGTCTGGTCGTCGAGCAACTACAACCATTACAAATTGTAGAGGGATCGATGTTCGTCAAAATTGAAGATACACGCCAAAAATTCTGTCTAACGACAATGATAAACTTGATCACTGTAATTAATGGTGTGGTGAGTTAAATAATATTGTGTTAATTACTTAATCCATGGCAGGATAGATTGGTGCTATTATGTCGACCGAAATACGACTCAGTAAAATTATTCAAATGTCCCTCCAGGGCATCCACGAACTTTCGTTGGGGTTGAAACGCCAAGCTAAATTAACGAGTGTGCTCGAAAAATTTATTACTTTGAGTGACGTAATCGTGTCTAAAATTACCACAGACATTTGTCTCGTGTCAGTGAGCACTAATCTTAAGGGGAGAGTCTGGGGAAAAATCGATAAATTTGGCTTTTTTTCTTCGCTCATTTTGTAGCTGCAGAAAAGGCGCATTTAACGCAGCAAACCGCATGTACGTGCGTGTTTTAGTTTTTGCGAAAAGAAATTTCAAAAATATATAAATGAACATTTTTTATTAATATGTACAAAGATTTTTTTAATTTAATCGGTATTTATAGAACATTATTTTCGTTAATTGCAAAGTGTTCGCACTCCTTTGAAAGCTACAGACAAGACGCGTTCAACAAAGCTAATATCATGGATGCACATGCAATAATTTTATTATTCAAGTTAAACTGGACAAGAATAAGACGCGTGCTGGTACCCTAAATGCAAATAATTGGCAATGGGAAAGCTTGGGCTACAATATCAAGCAACTTTTGTGGCATATTCTTCTTTTTTTCAATAAATTTTACTTTTTTGGCTCCCTCGAATAATTACCATTTGCAAAATCCACCATCTTGAACATCTATCTCCTCCTATGATTTTCAAGCTACATCATTGAGAGATATGCCATTCGATTCGTAAAAAAATATCTAGCGATCCACCGATGACATTCCTGATTTCGTTTTAGTTTGGATCATATATTGAAAAAACGAGGGAGGTGAAGAGAAAAATGAATAAATCAGAAAAAAAGCATCATAAAAAAAATGATCAGTCGATCGCTAGATATTGTCTTTACGAATCGAATGATATGTCTCTCGATGTTGTAGCACGTTAAACGAATGATTTTTCGAATAATTTGCACGAAAAAAAAATTATTCATTTCTGTTTAACATTTGTGTACCAAGTTTCAAAATGATCCATCCGTAAATAAAAAAAAGTTGTATATGACCCAGACGCTCCCCTTAAACTAAAAATGCACCTATTAACCAACAATACTGTATTAATGTGCGCCTTATAAAACTATTCGCACTGAAATATTTATACGTACAGGCGTCAACGATAATTTTGGGTAATTTCCTCTTTAAGCAAATCTTCAATGGCTTCAAATGTTACTCAATACGTTACGAGAAGCACTTCGACGTATTTAAAATTCGACGATATTCCTAAGTCGCTTCACTAACATGTCATTTTATGATGAGTTCAGCCATGATTTCTAGCGCGTGTGATTTATAGAGATTGAAAGTGAAAATTATAATGATTTAGAGAGATTATCTTGAATTATAGCAATTGTAATAATTTCTAGGATTTTCCGATATGCTTATTAGCTATCGATGTAAGCTATGATTTAACTTTTCCTCGGTTTAGCTTACTTATGTTATATTTCCGATGTATACTTTTGATTTACGCGAAATTTCAATTTCATTTTTATTATGTAATGCATTTTTAACGACTTTGTTCCCCATCTCACTGTTCCAATGGTCAAGATTGTATTAAACAACTCAACGTAAAGTCAACTGAACTTATGAGCTAACGAGTTTCAGTAACGTTAGCGTACATACAAAGAAACGATACTCTTTCATTTTAGGATCTCGTTTTTTTATTCGATATCACATTACAGTTTCTCTCTTTTATATTATAAATATCTAATGCCCGTGCATTTCCGAGCGAGAACTTGGTCACGAAGGCCAGCGTCATGCTGTCTCTACCTTGGCATTACGACGCCAGCTTCAAGGCGAGTCAGTGACTTACTCGACGCTTGCCACGTGACAACGTTGACGTCAAAGCTTGCAACAGCTTTTTAATGCTCTTCTCATCTGCGTATATAAAGGAGACGGCAAGCACAGATCCCGTGATGCCAATAAATTTACACAACGGAAATGTGACGGCCATCTTCACCAAAATCTCCTCCGTCTTACGATGGCATCAAGATTTTTTCCTGCTGCACTCATTGAAAAGTTTCTATGCGGACTGCCGAGATAATTGACCACATCCATTTAGAAAATTTTTATCTAAATCTCGTCAAAACCAATTTAGGTCAGAATTCATCTTATTTGACTTTCGAGGAGGTTCAACGAGGAAGTTCAGTTCAACCCTCAGTGCAGTTTAACCTACTGACCTATAGTTATCTGACCTACTGATCACGCCGTCAAGAGACTGATGGAGTAGCAGTCGTTGATCAGAGACCTGTTTCATTTTAGCAAACGACTTAGCCTTATGTTGACTCAGACTTTGATAAACTAATGTATATGAATAAATGAATTAAGAATGTTTTGATTTTGCCTAGTATCTATTCATGCGCAACGACTCTTTAATGTTTCCACGTTTACTGTTCACCGTTAATTCTCTAGATTATTATCCTCTGTATTAATTCCTATCTAAGTTAGCTTAATCTTCTACTTTGTTAGTACTTTCGAGTGTGTTGCTGTGTTTATCTAGAGAGCAAAGATTTTTTTAGCGCATTCATAACGATTTGATTAACGTCGTCGAATGTCTCTATAAGAATTTAGTGATCGGCGCTTCATTCTTGTTTGATACATTTTTTACCAGTTGAATTCTTTTTGTTTATTGTACGTTCTTAGATTATGACTTCTTTGCCTGCTATGTAAGCTGTTGTTGTCAGACTCAGTATACAAGTCGTTCGTGTCAAATTGAGGGACCAATTTCCCCGCGGTAGGGAGGTCGTTACCATGAATCTGAACTTTGTTACTTTTAAGATTTCTGACTATGATGAGACAGGAATATTATTTTTTTATTCGCGAGTAGAACTATATCTACACTACTTGCCTATAAACTTTGATATTCATGCTTGCCTATGATCGTTGGTTTAACGTTCTAACGCTTGCTAAAGTTCTTGCTTGCTATAACGCTTTAACGTTTTTGCTTGCCTATAATCTTTGGTTTAGCGTTCTAACGCTTGCTAAAGTTCTTGCTTGCTATAACGCTTTAACGTTTTTGCTTACCTATAATCTTTGGTATAACCTTATAACGTTCTCGTTTCTTTAGATTTAAGAACCTACGGATCTTTGACCCTTGTTATGTTCACATAATTTTCTCCGAACTGTCTAATTGTTTTATCCAATAGTAACTCATGCTACATGCATGCATAGTTCATTGACATGCTACGTATTGCGTCAACTTGTCATTACGTTTATTTTGAATAGCACTAAATTCGAGAGCGTTAACTTTTTCGTTTTGCTTTTGTAATAAAGATTGAGAACGATCCCAATAACTTCCCGTAGGGAGGAATGTGCAAGGAGACGATGTATAATACCATTCGTCTTTAGATAATTCTTCATTTATAACTTTTTTGTTGAAAGATAGTCTTCTTCAATGCGATATGTTCATAAATATATCCTTGTGTTATCCTTCCCTGTTTATCAAGTTACGTCCATTGTGACGTCAAATGGCGAAGCTATAAAAGCTCTGTCTCGTGCGATTAACTGCAGTTTTGGGCGAGGACCGTTGGTATAGCCCATTGCTCATGTTCCCCTCTAACAGAGTAGAGATTGACAAGCGTATATCCTCTAAATTTATTCTTACTTCAATGGGACGCCGAAGACATCAATGTATAAGCTCCAACTTATTGCCGTGTATCACTATAGACTGAACTGAAATTTGATCCTAATAAAATTCATATAATCGTTACGCTATCAATTCACTATCCTCGAATCATCGCCTCAACTGGACCAACCCTTGGGTCTTACTTGATTACTATTCATACAAGACGTGCACAGAAACGCACATCGTACATTAGAGAAAATGATTAGGGCACAAAAACATTTGCTTCTCCTGATAACATTATATGTAGTATCTGTTGAGAAGCTAGGAGGATGTTAGTTGATGAACATTTTTTAATTTGTGGATTTATGAACAAAACTTTTCATTTCAAATACCCGGTCCATGTGAGTAAAGGACGGCTATCTGGGCAGAAACCTGCTCCAACCCTGATTTTAGGCCTGTAAGGAATCTTTCAATTGCACTTCTAGTAATTAATTGTGAAATACGATTTCATGAAATACCATCTCCTTCCATACGAGTCCCATCAACGGCAGTTAACTGTATGATGGAGTTAGCGCACTTCTTCAACGACACGGTCATCACGCCCAAAAAGTCTGCTTGGTTCTTCGTTTGAATTCTTGAACCAACTGCACAAGAAGGATTTTATAAGTGCATTAGGGACTTCTGATAATAGAAACGGCTTGCAAATACCACTGTTCCATGCAATAAATGAAACTGAAAACTCCAAGAGCCACTGAAATTGCATCTAGCCAAAGGCTCAAATGAAAGAGTCACGCTGAATTAAACATACAACGAAAACAATCATAATATGTTCATTGTTGAATTGAAGTTATGCAGCATTTTACAGATTACCGAATTTTCGAACAATTTATGATATATTTTCAAGCAAACCTTATTGCTTATGAAGTCACACAACTGCAAACAAAATGACTGCGCAAAACAGGGAAAACATTCTGATTCAAATTAATTCACCTGATGAGGGTCGGACAAGCACGGGTGCTGCTTCTTCATGTCTTTCAGAGACGGAACTTCGCTGATGATGTACCGCCGCCGATCTGGGAACGTGCACTGAAGAGAAGTATTGATAGCAAGGTGGTTGGGAATCTTATTTTTGCACTTCATCTTCATATATTCAATGTGAGCTGCGATGCTGGCGTCCTTCAGGCTATTCACGAGCATCAAGGAAGTTGGCACATCTGTGGGAAATTTTTCCCACCATTAATAATTTTTGTAGTCGTTTGTAAATTTGTTGTCTATATGTCGTTTTCTGTTCATGTTGCATTCACAGTTTTGTTGTATTCAATTTAGTTACGTAGTTGGGAGCAGTATCCGCTAGGTTAGTGACTCCTTTCTAAGCATCCATACCGTTCAGACGTCCGATCTCGTATCGTGGCTTGTTTCAAACGCAGCAAGTTCTCAATTATTCAATTCTGGACAATATTCACTTCAGCCAGCAGCGCAACAGGAGCTACTGCTATTCTTATTGTCTGTTTGGTTACTGTTGCACTATTTTTTTGTTGCTGCAATGTTGCAATGCAGCAACAAATGCAATGTTGCTTTTTTTCATATTAATTATTTACGCTCTATGTACAATTTTTTTCTGTGGTACTCTAGACAAATCAATATTCAATTATTATCTCAAATTTCTAATTAGCTACGTGGTCTCTGATATTGGCAGAGGAACTAGTTTCCTGTGCTGTGACCCACGATTCACCATCTTAATCTTAAATTTTCCAACGTCAAAA